AAAAAAAAAAAAAAGTAGAGTGCGTGCTAATAAAATTTGCAGATGACACAAAGTTGGGAGGTATAGCCAATATGGAGGAGGACTGGAATATCATACAAGATGATCTGGACAACTTTGTAAACTGGAGTAATAGAAATGGGATGAAATTCAATAGTGCAAAATGCAAGTTGTGCATTTAGGGACTAACAATAAGAATTTCTGCTACAAAGTGAGGGCTCATGAGTTGGAAGTGACAGAGAAAGACAGAGATCTGGGTCTGTGGGTTGATCACAGAATTTTCCCCTGGGTCAGATTGGCAGAGACCCTGGGGCAGGGAGGGTCGCCTTTCTCTGCAGCATGGGGCATGGTTCACTTGCAGGTTTCAACTAGTGTAAATGGTGGGACTCTCTAACTTGAAGTCTTTTAAATCATGATTTGAGGACTTCAGTAACTCAGCCAGAAGTTAGGGGTCTATTACAGGAGTGGGTAGGTAAGGTTCTATGGCCTGCAATGTGCAGGTCGTCAGACTAGAGTATCATGATGGTCCCTTCTGATTTTTAAGTCTGAGTGTCTAGAAGGGTCCCGGGAGACTCAAATGCATCCTGACTTATGGAGGGCTTATTTGTTTGACCCAGACTTTGAAGGGAGTTAGGGGGGAGATTGAAGAACTAGCCAATAACATGGGGTGGTGTTTGTATTGAAAGCTGCTGTTTCTCTGAAGATGTGAGGTGACTAACGTTTACATTTGACTCCTGTCATTTTAAATAAGCTTTCAGTACTTTGCCAGTTGTGTATGAGCACCTCTTATTGTAAATGGAAATAAAACACATAACCAAAAGGTGCACTTAGAACAAAATCTTAATTGTCCCTTCTCTGCAGTAACCACATAGGAGATTTCACGTTATTCATAGTCCGTACCAGTGTGGGTGGTCATGTCACCAGTAGTTCCATTAGGAGATGGAAACAAACTCCATGAATGCTTGTTCTCGGTCTAGAGAGAAAGCACATAACATATCAAACTAAGTCTTTATATAAGTGTCACTGACTCTATGGCTAAGCATTTGGAAAGGAGCAAGTTGGGGCAGACATATGCACTTGGGAACTTTTTTCCGTAAGGGATACATAATCAGCTTTTGGAATGATTCTCTACCAGGGCTTTCTGGTGGTATCTGTGTCATTCTAACAGTAATACTTGTTTAGCACTAATTGTTGCCATGAGATATCACTGAAGGCAAGAGGGAATCAAAAATGGATTAGATATGTATGGATAAAGAGAACATCTATGATCATATTAAATCTCATGTTTACAAATGAGACACACAAACCATCCTGCTTCAGGGCATAAACCAACCACTAACTTAGAGATAGGAAGATATTTCTCCTTGGAGGAAGAACAGCACTTTTTGCACTTCCTTCTGAAGCATCTGATACTGGCTAGTGTCAGATTATTGTTAGGAGATCCATTGTGATAATGCCTCTTATTAAAACTCATAATCTATCAGCTGAATACAGGTAAGATGGTCTTGCTGCCAAAAAAAAAGTTTTCTAGGCTTTTAATTACCACTGCTATTTTCCTAACCATAGAAAAGTTTATTCAAAGACTGTTTGTGTAATACTGTACACTTTGTCACTGCAGGATTTCTGTCACGGGCAAGTGATGTGGCCCCCATTAAGTGCACTGCAGGTAAAAATTACTGAACCCGGAAAATCATGTAAACAAGTTTGTCAGGAAAACCAGCTCATCTGTGAGCCATCCTTCTTCCAGCACCTTAACAAAGACAAGGATCTGCTGAAGTAAGTATTGAGGAGTATGGAAATATAGTTGGGTACCTTATATAAAGTACATTCTATGGAGGGGAGGAAATAGTCCTAATGCATCTGTAATGGTGAGTGGTCAAGTTCTCAACTTCTGAAAAGCGAAGTTAAAATTGAAAAAAGAAATCTTAAATTTGCGACTTTGTGCATATGCTGCCTTAAAATAGTCTCTTAATATAAATGTTAATTAACAGCAACATACATTCTAATTTAAATACAGTATGTTAAAATGCAAAGTTTAAGCCTTACAACTGTTCTAACCATTTGAATCTTAGTATTTCTTAGTATTTCTTCTTTGAGTGCTGGTCCTTGTTTGTATTCCACTCTGGGTACACATGCGCTTCATGCACCTGGATCCAGAGTATTCTCACAGGCAGATTCCGTTGGTCCACACACATGCCCCTGCTCTCCTCGTGCTCCGTACCGAGGATATAAGGAGCAGGGTGAATCGACAGCCTCTTACCGCTGCATGACCTGCATCAGAACTTTCAGTGTCTGGAGCATCTTCTCTACTCACTTGATCTTCAATCTGTAAATCTTTGAAAGCTTTTTCTTAGTAAATAATTTTCTTGTAAATCATTTTAAAGAGGTTTTTTGATAACTTTTAGTCTCTCTAGGGTAGTTAACTTGATTACCCTGGATCGTAGGAAAGCTGTGCCCCCTTAATTCTCCAGTCTGGTGTGCACTAGGCCCACTTTGCTATGTGAGCTGCCTCTCTGCCCACTCACCCCAACCTCTAGCGTGCACGTCACCTGCTGGCATATACAAGAGTGCTATGTCCAGCCACTCTTGAATTATATATAGGGCAACACCCATATATACATATACCTAATCCCGGTCTTGCACCCCAGAAATGTACTGTCTTGTACTGCTCAGTTACTTACTGAGCAATACAAGCTCATAAAGTCCATCATTTTAACAAAGAAAATGATCCAATAAACAATAATAACTGGCTGATTTGTTAATCACTTTTTGCCTGCGGGCTGCCTGCTTCCCTCCCTCCCTCCAATTGTGTCCACATTTTCACTTACAAATGATTGTCTTCCTGCCTCATTCTCCTTTGCCATAGATCGGGATGGCTCTTTTATTGTTAAAGTGTGGCTCCTCTCCCCCACCCCCATTCTCCACCTACCAGACTGGGGAAGGGAGATCTCGGGGCTTCTGCCCTGTGGCAGGGTGGTGCTCCTGGCTCTCCAACTTCTGAAGATTATTGTCTGCACCTCAGAGGGTCAGTAAGTTTGGCCACCTCTGCCATAGAGTCTGCCCAGCTGAATCCTTCTCTCTCTATTCCTCCCCGTTTTCTTCCCTGGCTCCCCTTCCAGCCCCAAGTTTTTTGTGACCTCTTCCCCAGCTGGTGGAAGATTGGGTGAGAAATACGTTGGCCCTCCTTCAGTGCAGCTTACAGTGAAGGGGGCACCTGCTGTGCTGTATTGCAGCAAAGAGGCAGCTGCTGTGCTCAGCTCTGCCCCACACTCAGCAGTATACTAACAGGAAGCTCAGCTTTTAGGAGAGAGAGCAGCAGTCTCTGTCCTCCTGCCAGCTTTGCACAGTGCCCTTAAACGTTAGGATGTTTGCACTATAGTTAAACCCCTCGGCTTAAGTTGCCACAGTTGCCAGATTGTTAAAATTCCATAATACAAGAGCAACAGAGGGTCCTGTGGCACCTTTAAGACTAACAGAAGTATTGGGAGCATAAGCTTTCGTGGGGAAAGAACTCACCTTTTTCCCTTCATCTTGAGGAAAGAGGGTCTTTTCCCCCCAAAACTA